ATGGATTGGTGATGTATAAATTTTTAAAAGGATCATAGTGGTGATCTAACTATGGATTGGTGATGTATAAATATTTCAAAGGATCATGGTAGTGATCTAACTACAGATTGGTGATGTATAAATGTTTCAAAGGATCATGGTGGTGATCTAACAATGGATTGGTGATTTATAAATGTTTAAAAGGATCATGGGGGTGATCTAGCTATGGATTGGTGATGTATAAATGTCTAACAAAATCAGTGAGTGTTTACTTAAGAATAATAGGACAGAATTCTGTATATTTCAAAGACCAGAAGTTAATAAAAATTACAAAAGATTTAAACAAATATAATCAAATATACATATCAACTGTGGAAACATATGAACAATCTCAAACCTCCTCACTGAAAGGTGTCTATTACTATAAAATAAATCAAACAATATCAAACAAATACAAAAAGCAAAAAAAAAAAAACAAAAAAAAAACAACAATCAAATAACAATAAAAAAAGAAGTTAAAATTAAAGTACACTTAAAAAGAATATACTATAAAACTAAACAAGCCAAAATGTAACTCCAATGTTAAATACAAACATATGGGAAAACATGGGAAAGACTATTTATCCATTATGTTGCAGTGGCATTTAGAAAGAAAGTCATCATAAAATCAGTACCAATGAAGAATCGTGCTACATCTAGAGACTGAAAAGATGAAGAGACATCATGTTGTCAATGCAGAAAAGCATTTAAAGCCACAACTTGTGTTTTTCTGAAGATTTCTATGAACAATATATACTACTATTTAATACCATCCCACCACAACACCACCACAAAAAACCTTACATACAACTACTAAAAACATTAACTAATTACAAATTTATTAAATTCCCTTCATATACTACTGGTATTTTGTACTAATACAACTAAAACAACTTTGAGTAACTTTAGAGCCCCACCCAATTTAGATTTTGTAACACTCATAGATAGCTTAGGTTATAATAAAATGTTTTGTAATACATTTAAGTGTTTTTATCAAATACTCACATGACTCTTGGTTCACAGACATTAAAATATTTAATTATTAAAAACATCAATTTCAATGTAACCACAATGATGTCATAATTGCACTGCTAAATAATACATAAATGTATTTCAGTATTTAGTACAGTTTTGTTTCTAAAATGTAGTTTTTATTTCTAAAAACAAGTGTAATTATTAATTACCTTAAGGTCTCTATGTACAACACCCTGGGTATGCATGAAATCCACAGCCTCCAGAATCTGTTTAATCAAATGGCTAGCATCTTTTTCTGTATAGCTTCCTTTTTCTACTATTCTATCAAATAATTCGCCTCCTGTTACCCTGCATTGAATCAACATGTTGACATCTGAGACTTGTTATAACCTTACTAAGTAACAACATAAAAAGTTTGGATGTTTTAAAAAACAAAAAAATTATGATAAACTCTTGAAGTTTTTAAACAAATTGTCTTGGAAAGGTAAAAATTAATTAATGTTTTGTAATTTTATATGCACATTATATAAAGTTAGCTTTTAAAGATAACGTTTCTGGAGATTTCTGAACTTAAACAACATTTTACTACAACTGAATCAGTTTGTGGATGAACAGTTTGTCAATACTAAAAATAATGCAAATACTTACAGTTCCATTACTAGAAATACTTTGCCCTTATCTTCAAATGTCTCAAGTAACTGAACAATATTTGGATGTTTTAGTCTAGAAAAAACCCAAAAGAAAAAGTGAATACATCAAATACTTAACATGAAAATGTACTATAAAAAAACTAATGTTTTTGATAGCAAATTATGCTAATTATAACATTTTTGTACAAAATTTTACTCTAAATCATTAAGTACAGTAGTACTTAATAGGATCCTGATGAAACAAAATGGCAGCTATAAAAATTGTCCATTTAAAACCACCTTTAAAATGTTTGAATATTACCAATGATTATTTCACAGTATTGGCGAAGCAAAACTAAATAGCTGGCTAAATCGCTATATACATGTTTATGGAGTGAATCAAAAGTTCACTATTTCAATGAGCTTTCATCTAAGTAAATAAGCAAGCAACTTTTCCAGACAAGCATACAGAAAAAATGACAGACCATAACACCCCAATTCTTTTATAGAACACTTCCATCTGGGGTTCCAATGATTATTTTCTTGTACTGAAAAGGATACTAGTATGTATATGTATACATAAAATGGATGATGCACTATTTTGGGCATATAATTAGATTTGAGGGTAGGCTGGTAGAAATCCTGATGAGTAATAAAATCAAATCAGACATTAGTGCGCCCCACATTTAGTATTGCTGGTGCAAAAAAATACAGCTAATAAAAATGAAACAAACAAGTACAATAAAAAAATTGAAATTTTATAAAGACAAGTAGGGATCAATATGTATATATACACACATATATATATATATATATACATACATACATACATCACTTAGCCACCTATAGTAACATAGAAAGTTTCAATGCAGCAAAAAGTATTGAAACAAGAAAGTCAAAACTACAAAAACAGAGTTAAAATTTTTTAAATTTTGGTAGCATTTTGCTGATACCTTAAAGACAACATATAGTAATGAATACTTTTTTTATATATTTTTCAAGTAGCAAGAAGATGTTGCTAATAGAGCTTCCCAATTGGTGGGTAACAATTCACAGTTCAGTATTGCACCGGAGATACACGAGAGGCTCACATTTATGGTGTATTGGTAACACAGATAAAATTGGATGCCCGTGTTAACACTTTGTAATATATCCCGATTCATGCTCCAGCCATGCTAAAAATGAATATATATTAATTATATAGCTAAATATTACACAAAAATATACTCTGGAGCAAGTACTGTAACAGTTATATCATGATCCAAGAAAAGTAGGTATTAAACAGAATAAGTAACACATAAAATTTTGAGAAATGCATTGCCTTTTATGTCCCTCCCCCTTTGTAATACATCCTACATTTTAGGCTAAACAAACTTAATATGTTCAGTTATGGTATGTAGACTATGACAGTTAATACAACATGTTATTCTAACATAAATTTAATTTTCTTCAGTTGCATATCATACCTTCGCAGATCACACATTAAACAATAAAATCAGAGTATACATATATGAGAAATGTTAGAAATGGCCTTAGTAACAGTTGACAAGTAGAAATATCATTTCTATGCAACTCACAACAATAGCTTCCAAACACAAGCTGAAGTTTTATCATTGTTCCAAACTTCCAAGTATATACTGTTAATTCATTAAAATGGGTATTAAACAAAGTTGTATTAGAAAGAACTCACATTTGTAGGGCAAATAAGCATTAAACTTGCTGTACAATACAAGCTGATCATACATTCAGAATTAAAGATCTGTGTAAACACAAAAACTTTACGTACTTCCTTAAAACTTTTATTTCATTCTCGAGGGAGTCTTCCTTTCCTCTGAGGGCTTTCTTGTCAATACATTTGATGGCAACAAGCTTATCGGGCACATCTCTGCTTTCTGCCAGAACCACTTGGGAAAAGGCTCCGCTGAAAAGCAAGTTAATATGTTAGATGATTGTCTCATTTTAGCACAGTATAAATAACAATGGAATTAGTACAAGTTCTGATTCAATATGACTGTCTTTTCTCTCAATATTTTCTTCTACACTTGCTGTAAGGAAGTTCGAACATTGATAACTTATTTAAAAAAAAGAACAACAGGTGTTAAAGATAACAGTGTTCATACACACATAGTTTTAAAGAAATTTTATGTATGTGAAACTTTGAGAACCAGCGAGGAAACATGGACTAAATTTCTAGAATCTAAAAAACTCAAACATTCTTTTATTGTACTCCAGTTGTGCTTAATTTCATAATCTCAAACTTCAGTTTGAAGAAACATGCTTGGGCAGGGAAGCTAAAAGTGAGAGGTATTAATTCCATAGATAATACGGTATTGAAAATATTGTTACTAAGAAGATTTCCTTTTTAAAAACACTAAACACAATAGCTACAAACAGTTTTGGTATCTTTTTCTGTCTCTAGTCAACCCAGCAAAAGTTATACTTTAAATAAAAGGTACTTTAAAACACTTCAAAATATCAAAATAACAATAGAGAAATTACAACCAAGATGGCACAGATATTTTTATATATTTTCGTACAATTCACTTAATGGGCACTAACACTAGAATACACATTATGGATGCTATACTACTCATTTTACATTCACCAAAGGTAGTATGTATTAGAATATGAATCATTAATAGAAGTATCTTAAAAAGTGTTAAAGTATGTGATGGTTTCAATAAAATTGGTAACAATACCCTTTTTTTAAAATAACATTCTGATATATTCAGCAAGTTAAGGCAAGCATTTCTTTTATAACTGTCATAACAGTTTATGTTATATGGCACAGCTAGTATCTAAAAATAATATATTTCAACACATGCTTAAGAAATGAAATATTTAACTGAAATGATATACTATTGTAAAATACTGTTGCGTCAGCGAGTCACATGACTACTATGACGCAACGCTTCTA